TATGTATTCTCAGGCGTTCGTGTATAATAATATATATATATATATATATATATATATAAGTATATATATATATATATATAAAGTGAGTAAAAATTAAAATTGTGGAAAAACGTATATATGAATAAGAAAAATTGAAAATTATACCTTCTCCGGTTGATTCCATACGACTAGCCGTGTTTACGGTATCCCCAAAAAGACAATAACGAGGCATTTTGCTCCCTACAATTCCAGCAACAACGGGTCCTGTATGGGCACCGCTTCGTATTTGAAGGCGTTCCCCGGGTCGCTTTGGCACTTGAAACACCGACGAAGCTGCTAAGAGATCAAGGGCCATCGTTGCTATTTCAGATACGTGTTTGTCTCCTTCGAAATCATTGCTTTAGATTAAAATACATTAATAATTTATGTAACCAGAATCGAACGGGATGAAATTTTACCGTTTCTAACGGGCAACCCGGATGCAACCATGTACGAATCGCCAATCGTTTCAACTTTGTACACATCGTAACATTCGATGCGAGCATCGAACAATTTGTAGATCGAATTCAGGAAGGTGACAACCTAAAATGACGCGATAACTTAAAGTAAAAATAAAGTCAGGAATTATGTTACAGATATAAGAATTTTACTTCTAACGGGGTATTCTCTGCAGCAATTTCCGTAAATCCAACAATGTCGCTAAAATATACGGTCACCGCTTCGTAATATTCTGCTGGAACCTATGGAACAATGTGAATGATTATAAATCAACGATGTAACAACATTTTCAAAGCTCAACATTCGTTCATTACCTGTTGGGTTTGTTTCAATTGTTGAGCAACGCTGGGTGGTAACATTTGAAAAAGCAACGTGTCGCTTTTTCCTTTTTCCTGTTTCAGTTCCCGGGCTTTCTGCGCCAGATTAGCTGCATACATCTAAAATTTTCAAGGGGAAAAAACTCTTTATTGTTACTTATGATCGAATAAACGAGCAATTTAAAATATAAATTCAATCGATTTCGAAATCGCTGTATGGCGATTTTAGAAATTAAATAAAAATAAAATTTTGTAATTTTTGAGAAATTGCATAAAAACTACAACGAATAATTAACATTTACTTACTTGAATCGTCGCAACCGCGTTACGCACTAATATTATAATGATGGGAGAGACGACCAATACTAGCACAACTATAGCTATCCCAGCAGCTTCTTTATTACTTGCGTCTTGCAAAGTCGAGTTCACGTAATCTCTGTTAAAAATATATATTTCTCGAAAATTTCAACCATGGAGAAATTGTAATCGCGCGGTCATTCCATTGCGAATATTTACCTAATCATGTGGCGTAATTCTTTCTGAAGTTTTCGCAGTTCGTCCACGTAAGTTGCCATTGAATCGAAATAAGCGATCGCATCTTCGATATTCGGTTCCCTCTTCCGGTTCTGGAGGATTTCATCTCGTCTGTAATGCACGTTTTCCAAACAAACCTATCTCCCTTGTTTCATGCATTTTACACGTTTTTCTCCCCAACAGATAACGATAATTTTTTTCCTTCTTAAATAATAATAATCGCTGTGCCTACCTGGATTTAATTCTCCCATAGTCCGGCATGGTGCGGGTGAGTTCGGCGTAAAAATGCTTGAGAGAAGGCACGTATGTGAGAGATCCATTGAGGAGATCACGTCCAAGAGCCTCGTGGCGAACATAGCTGACGTAATTGTCCCCCAGAAGGATTCCACGTCCGAAGTAATTGATTCCGTACACGGAAGCAATACCCAAACTCTCGATACTTCTCAGTAAATTTTTAAAAGCTATCAAATACCTGAAAACGATACGACACTTCCGATGTTTGCGCGTATTTTTAACGTGTAACAAGTTCTGTGATAACTTGTGAATATATATCCGCGAGAAGAGGAAGAAAAAAAGGAGAAGAAAAGTTGTCTCGAACTTTGAAATTGATTTTTATCTTAGAGAAGCTATGGGCAACTCGACTTGCTTCGCAACTCTTCATCCCACTTTTGCACAAACTTTCTTTTTCTGAAAAATTGACTTACTCAAAACGAATCCACTGAAGTGGATTAACTTCTCTTCTCTTCTTTTCCGTTTCCGAATAAGATAATAATAATAATAATATTTTAAAAAGAATATTTATTTATTTTTTTTTTTATCAAAAAAAAACTTACCTCCAAACTCCGCTATTATCCGTTTCTTTGATCTGATTAGTTAGATGGTCTAACATAGCCGCGTTTACGCTCGTGTACCATGTCATCACTTCGGTAATGCTGCTCTCTTCCGAACTTATCTTCTGCCTAAGAAACGAACAAACTTTGTACCTGCAAAGATCTCCGTTAAATCTCGTTGCTCATGTGTCAAAAATTGAATGATGGTATATATCCATATTCCATTATAAAGTATATATGCTTTAAAGGGTGAAACTTAATAATAATAATAATAATAATAATAATAATAATAATATTGTGAGGGCATAACAAAGGATTTTCTATCGATTTCCCGAATTCCTTCATTGCTGGACTCTTTTTTTCTTTTTATAAAATAGAAGAATTTGTTACGCTACGAATATACAAAGAGCAGAGAATCTTGTCGCGTGTGTACTTATACGCGAAGATTGATTCGAGTGATCAGATAGTATTCGTTGTATCGAGGCAGTTTTTAGTTAGAGACACGATAGTCATAGAACGACAAAGAGAAAGCAGAGGAGGGGTGGAAAGAGGGAGGCGGGGTCTAAAAATATTGTCTACTGCTCCAAATGGGCGGTCACGCGCTCATGTGTGACAACCTCATCCATTGCTCATAAAGGTAGTTCGACAGAGAAGGCCGAGGCGCGACAGAGGCAAAATGACGTACGATTTCTTTGAGAGGGAATTTATTACTGCTTCGTACTTGTGCGTTATTCCCATTTGATATTTTAATAAGGCAGATACAATTCGCTAGAGGATTCAATCACACCTTCTTAAGTGCTTTTTCCCTTTTTTTTTTTTGGCTTCAAGTCGCAATGACATGTAGACATACATACATATTTGAAGTTAACACTTTTCATGTTTACAGAAACGTGGCACGAGTTATCAAGATAATTGTAATCTTTAAAAAAGCATTCGATGTAGTTCGATAGACAGGCAGGTTGCATAAAGGCTGTGTGAAACGAATATCATTAGAACGTTAATTGGCGGCAAAATGAAACCAGTTGTAGCGATAGAAGCAGTTGTTAAAACGTTGAAAATAATCACCTAAATAGCTACGTTAATTAATTTAATTGGCGAGTGATCGATCGATCGGCCGAAGATTAATAAAACTCCGGGAATCGGCTTTTTCTTTTTCGATGAAATCGAGTTAACACGCATCTTTCCTCCCCGTTATCTTTGTCAACCATTTGTGGGTAATATCTTTGATGGTAAAGAAGGGGATTGTTAGCTCCTTGTTACGGGTGTTCCCGCTGACAGAAATGCGTTCTATTATCCGACATATGTTCGTACAATAGTCAAAGGCAAAAACTTACGAACCCTGGGATCGATCAATGGAGAATTTCTTGTACGAGAAAGCACGGAATCAACGATTTTGACGTTGCTGACATTGCGAGTAAAAATTTTATACATCTTTCGATTATATATCTTGCTTCTTAATTGTGCCTTTTTTTTTTAAACAATATATTTAACAAATTTGCAGAAGAAAAAAGAAGAATGAAGGTACACGGGGATCGAAAGGAACGACCCGTTTTACTTAACGAAAATAAGTGTTCAAATGGAAATAACGCGTAGATAATATACACGTGCGGTCACGTAGATGAGAAATTTCCATTGCATTAACATGTCACCCTAGATAATTTATGCGGGAAGCATAACGTCCTTTAATTAGTATCGTTTGCCAGACAGATTAATAAAATGTCAGTACTAATATTCTAAAATTAATCCTTTCGTTTATCTTTTATTGATATTTCGACGTTGAAAGACGTCGTGTAGAAACTTTTTATTTTCAAATTTCAAGATCCCACAGAATGCTCTTCCATTGCAAATCATTGTTAACAATCGTAAGAATCGAAATTATCGAAATTATAATATATAATGACACTTGGACTCTTGGCCTTTATCGATTTATCGGATATTATATGTAAAGGATGACATATAAAATTGAAGTTCTCTCATCAATTTTCAGAATATGGAGTACGTAATTTTTGCATATATTTCTAATCATAGACATATTAATATCCAACCAATGTCCAACGTTTTCAATCTAGCTTCGCGCTATAGTGTAATTTGAGAGTAAATTCGACTAATCTTCCCTTTTCGATAATTTCGACATAAATTTGACATAAACGCGACGATTGTGAAAGAAAGTGAAAAATTGAATTTCCAATAAGTCAAGTTTACATTTATTTCGACGAGATGTAACGATAATCCGTCTCGAACTCGGTCTTGGAAAAACCGGATCCTTGCCACGTATTTTTATAATCGATCGATATGCCAAGACAAATACGACGACGATGGTGCTATTATAAAAGCATACACCATTTTACCATACCATATGTATCTTCTTTGCCGCGCCTTTTGGCTCTCCCTTTCTAATTAGATGATCGACTACTGCCATTGGACCATTATACACGTTGCATCCGCACGTGTATTAAAATAATTTTAATATTCTAATCTTCTTCTATGCGTAAGCGGAATTAATTAACATTAATTAATGAAAATTTGTCGATCGTTTTATCGATTTTTCTTTTTCTTTTTTCTTTTTTTTTTTTTGATTTCATATATTCGATCATTTTTAAAACATTATTTCCTTCGAACGATATTATTAAAATTCGGCCAACGATATTTTTACCGATAAATATCAGTTATTATATATATACATATATATAAATTATAATATATATGGAAATGAACGTTGAGCTGAAATTTATCGGGGGAGGGGAGGGGGGGTGAAGAAAAAGTTTCTATATTATCGAGCGACGAGGAGAGAGATACGCGGAAGAAAAGAATTGTCCACTTCGAGGTTGAATGGAAATTCAACAAGTGTCGGAACGAAGGCTTGAAGGAATCTGGAATTCTGCCGTAACTTTCCATGCAATCCTCGACAAAAGGTGATATTAGAATTAGCCAAGTGGACGAGCATATTCTCATTCGATACATTTTATCGCTTACACCCTATTTAACATAATTTCCTTCTTTCCGCCTTCACTTTGACACGTGGCAATTAATTAATTCCAGAGTTTTCATTTTAAATTTCTAAAAAATTCGTTCGATTCGAGTAATCGTCGTATCGAAAAAAGGTGTACAAGAGCCAAAGAAATGAAGAAAATCGTGTTGCGTTATTACGTGATCAATTATATGAAAAAATAAAAAAAGAAAGAAAGAAAGAAAGTTACAATGATGAAGGGAAAGCCGTGATGCATATATAAGGGACTTTTGACGTCATTCAACGTGCGATACACGTGGACTCTGTTTGGAGTAAAGAAGAGAGCCGGCGAGTATTTGTTAATCGATTCGTTACCTGAAATCCTCGAGGCGTGCTTGAAAAGCCTCTTTGCTGACCACGTCATAGGCTTGCGTCTTGCTCTCATCCCTCGGCACCGAGACCAGGGGCCACGTAGTCATGTTATGAAGAGCTTGATCAGTTATGGCGAACCTCTGCGTCAAGTTTGACCTTGAACAAATGCAAGAGACCATGGCGTATTAGCGTTACGTCGATAAATTGGCGGAGAAGGTTGGCTTATTTATTCGTTTTAGTTCACGTTCGCGCATTCACAAAGCCGAGACGTTCTCCAGAAGGATTCTGGAATTATTTTTGTAACCGGAGAAAAAAATTCGTTGATATTTTGCACAGTTTCCCCTCCCGATACTATGGAAGAATCGAAGCGGAAGGGTCAGGTCAATACGTTACGTTTCACTGACCATGCCACTTTAATCGTTAACTCGAACCTTGAATTTCCATGAGTATCATCGGATGTGTAATTACAAATCGATGATTTTAATTCGAGTTTTAACGGATTAAATCTTTCCTCCATCTCTGTAACGGTTACATTGGTTCCCTTAGCCATGAATCTTTATTTCGAACGCAATTCCGTGACGCAATTGTTTTCTCGAAACGCTAAGGAACGAGCATTTTCAGCGATGCCTCTGATTAAAGAACACAGAACTGTGTTTGCCCATCTGTTTTCATTGACCTGCACGTTAAAGGGTTCTTCCTGTTTAAACGAACGACTTTTCTTACCGAGTCACGTATAGTCGGGAGATCAAGCGATTTTAAAATTACTTGGAAAACGAAACCGTTAACACCGTATCGTACACGGGACACGTCCAATGCATTTCGTACGAACGAACAATGGGTCGCAGCACAGGTTAGATCGTGCGACTCTGACCTTTCATATAACGAACGCTTTGAAAACATTACATTACGCGCTAATACCTTAGAGTGTTGCCATTGGTGTAAATAAAGAATGCAACCTCGGATCTTTCGAGCTGCATCCGCGTCACGACCTTTCCCAAATCGGTGGCGATTGTTACCTGTATCAAGAAATCGATGATTACGAACGTTGTATTCCAAAGTAGTTTCGAAGAGAAAGGAACGAAGGAATGAAAATAAAAAGAGCGTGGGTAAACGTTAAGAGCATTCTATTGAAAATTATTATTGTTAATAGAACAGGGTATCGCGAAATACACGGATCCGCCAGTTAATACAACCAATTATTTCCGAGTTCATGAAACTTCTAAAAGGAGATAGAATTGATCGGTAAGGGACGGAAGGACAAAGTGGATACGATAGGATGGGCGAATATCTCCTAGTTACACATCGTGCGGTCACTCCAACTTCTAAGTACCTAAATGGCCTTCTGTTATACTTGTGATGGTTCCATTACGTTTCATTCTCATACAGCGTTCTAACAATTATGTGTCGGCCGTCGTGATGAAACGTTGTAAAAACGTAGTGGTGAAATATCGTCTCTCTTTTTTTTTTCCATTTCACGACACGAGCAAATCGTTTTATATGCAACGAACGAAATTTATCGAAATTTCGCGATTAATGCGTAATGATGGAACGGATGATCGATGAATGTTTGGCAAAATTAAATTAATCTCTTTATCATTTTTTAGAATCTTTTAATAATTTTCAAATATTAATATACATTGAATGCTTGTTCATTGAAAATGGGAAACATCGAATAAAATAATGTCAGCTTTGCACGATTCGTCTAATATAACACGTTGTCCCAGAATTAATCGTGATAGTAAACATTTTGCGACCGTGTTGATCGATATGAATACAAATCTTCGTCATTCGATTCTATTTTATCACGTTCATTGAAAACGAAAGTTTATAAAGATTAAAAAAGAAAGAAAGAAAGAAAGGAAGGAAGAAAGAAATCGTACTTTTTTACCTATAAGAAATTTAATGTTTAATCGCATGGAATAATCGATATAATTATTCCATGGTATTGGCGAACAATTTAATTTTGACCAACAATGTGGAAGGAAACGGCGTACTTTTAAAAGGCAAATTAAGTTTCTTCTTTGGTTTTCCTATAGATTTTAATTATGGAGGGCGTGGCAGAACAGCAACGTGAACGGGTATAAAACTCTCGACACGCTTAGCAGAAGGACGCGACGGCAAACACCGAGGAACGATGAAGATAGGGACGAGGACAAGCAAGGAGAGGAGAATACGTCCATTCTTTTCCGCCTTTCCTCGTGCCGTGTCACCGTGCTCGTCAAACAAGTAACTCGAGATCGAACAGTGCACTCGAGGCTACACCCTCGTTTCGATCAATTTCGATCGGATCTATCACCTCCTCCACCTCCTCCTTATCAACCCTTCTGAACGTACTACGCTACAATAATAACCATCCACAAACGCGAGCGACACTATTTCATTCTGGTATGGAAATTTTCTTGGACAAGTAAGCCAAGAGTGGGATTAAAGCACGTTGTTCCTCCGTTGTCCGTCCATTTCCCTTCAATTATGTATATACGCAGATGATTGACTCGCTCTCGAATTGTTCGAGACAAAATCTTAGATTCGAACGAAGGCGGAGATTGGAAACGTTTGAAAACGATTTGGCACGTCGTACGTCGCGAGTGAATGAATTTAAAGTTGGAGAGTAGAAATAAAAAGAATCCTGTGTTGAAAACTGTGTTGCTGCGTTTCTCTTTCCAACAGAGAGAATTCCATTCTATTTTCGAGGATCGATCGCTTTACTGGTAACAATATGATACCGTATGAAGAACCATTGTGAAGAACTTGGACGCAACATGAAACAATATCGATGTATCTTCGTTGATGACCAATGCATTGTGTTGTGATAGAATGGGTTATTGCTAGTTATTTACATCACAATAGAAAATATCGTTTTTTAATCGTATTTAATCGGTAAATCGATGCTGTCAAATTTATCGACGTTCTAATATATATATAGATTTATTATGAATTCGAGTGCAAGAATTTATAATCAATGGTCTAATTTGTTATTGTTAAATTCGTATGAGCGCGTTAAAGTCGAATTAAAGTTTCATTAAAATTTAGCACGCCCGATATTAAGAGAAGCGACTATACATTAAAGAAGGCATTGAACTGGAAAATGAAGAAATCGAGGTCAACCATAAAATATACCGATTTAGTAATCATCGTATACTTCGCAATAGCAAAGTGTATATATATGTATATATATATATATATTATTTTTTTTTTCGTTATAAAGAGTAACGACGAATAAATTGTCGGAAAAAATAATAAAAATTTACTAAATTACATCGTTGTATATTTGACACCTTATTTGTTTGGTTTTTTTAATTAAAATCTTGATAAATAACTAACAATCACTCTCGATCGTGCAATCACACACAGTGATACGATTTAACGTGTCAAGTTTAAGAAGAAAATGGGAGGAAATTCATTTTTCGGAAAAATTACCCTATCATAAATAAATAAACCATAAAATCATTATAAATCATCGATAGAGTGTTTGCAAATCAACTCGTTGTCATAATCTACACGCTGAAACAATCGAAGAAATGGACAGTAGGATCGTAGCACTACGATTGAAAAAACGAATGCGTAGGTGTGGTAACATGTTTACTCGCTCCTTCGTTCCTTTCCCATAGTTCATCGATCGATTATCGCTAAATTACACGTTTATTTCGTGATGAAAATTGCAAACCAGCAAACTTTATTTTTCGAAATCTTTTTTTAGAAATTTTATTTGAATTAGAGAGAGAGAGAGGGAGGGAGGGAGGGAGAGAACTGGAACGGAAGTGAAAACAGCGAGAAACGAGAAGAACAAGAAATCATAAAAAATTGTGAATAAATTATTTGATCGAAGGAACATTTAATTTTTGGATTACCTGCGTTTCAATGTCGGAGACCTCCTGCCGATAGATCAAGATATCGTGAAGGGTATTAGCTGTCTGGACGATCAACGCTAGGATCGGTATGAATGGCAATACCAACATCTGCAACAACTGAATTCGACGTCCACGGCGATGAGCCGGATCCGTAGCACGTGCCCAGCAGGATTTCTTTCGGTTGGTCTTCGTCGCCGAGACATCGTCCGACGAGAGACTCCTCACCGAGCTTACTTCCGCCACGCACGAGCCGTTACGCGGTGACATGCTGAAATAACGTGACCATTTCCCTGAATTTTTAACCAAAAGCGAGTCCCCCTCACTTCGACGACGTTGTGACGACATACAACCAACGCTTAGCTACGATCACGATGTTTACGATCACATTGATGAGTCTCGTTACAAAGTATATCACGATGAGTTTTATAATACGAGTAAATTCGAATATTTTATCGATATAGAATATACCGATGTAGTAAACACACAGCATGGTAAAACTGGTTACAGATACAAAGCATGCGTATACACATTGAAATGTTTTGTACATGAGTAGAAAGGGAAGGGTGCGAGGGTGTAGAGATGACAAGCGAGGCAAGCCCTTTTAATTAAACTATGTGAGCTATTTTGCATTTAACTGCATTAAAGGAAGAGTATTTACTTTTAAGTGCGCAGCATGCGAAAGTGATTTTTCCTTTTTTTTTTTTTTTGTTATCAACCGATTGAAACTTTAACCCGTGTGGTAGAGTAGAATATGAAATAATTGTATATATATATATCGGTATATACGCGTGTAATATTATTTTTCAGGGTTACGTTGAAATATAAAACCACAAATTTAATACGTAACAAGATATGTAACGATACTTTAATCTACGCGATATTTCCCATCCATTGAACACGACACGATACACACGTATTCATGATTTTCCGATGCCACGGGTTTCCTTTGTCTCCCTTCCATTCACCAGGGAAATTAAATAATCGAGCAAACGAGTAATGAACGAGCAAGGCCTCGGGAAGAAAGGAAAGCCTTTGACATCGATGTGCACGAGAAATTCCTTTGATACACGTGTTTTTCTTCTACACGTAATGAAAGAAAATTAAACGTCTAAGGAAGGGATTGAACAAACAACAGTCAATCGTTGAATAGTGGTTGATTTTCAAGTGTAATTTCAAACGCAAATTAGTAAGCACGTTTACTTTTTCTTTCTTTCTTTCTTTTTTCTTTTTTTTTTTTTTCATTCCCTTCAGTGAAATCCTCGCAATTGCGATCATCTTTTTATTATATCCTCTCTCGAAACGCGAGCGATTAATCGAATAACGAAACGCGATAAAAAAGGCACGAGAACAGGATTGATATTAAACAGGATTCCGTTTCTTTTTCATCTTTGCAATTTACCTTTTCACCATCTTAGACGTCTTAAAATTAAATTAATCCGGAAAATAACGTTTGCTATTTAACTTTAATAGAACGCGCAGCTAGGAACAGAGGAGACGTTGCTTACAGCTGCCTTCCGTAAACCGCAGCCAAACAAAATGATCATTGGTGACGCGCATTGCCTCTTGTTCTCTGAACACGAAGTAATAATCTCAACAACAACCGAGCAAGTTTGAGATCCTTTTATTTCTCTAAACTTTCGTTCATTAACGAAATCTGCCTTAATTAATCAAAGTGAAAAGTTTCCTCGATATGTATGATTGCGTTGTTATTGCGTTGTTTCGTCTAATTTGCGGGAACACAATTTATAAGGACGGATTCGTGTTAAACCGATTTGTTTCTCTCTTATGAAAATCACTTCCTTAATAGAAGATACATCGGTGCCAATTAATTACAGGCCGTTATCGAGTTATCTTAGATAATATATACTTGATAAAATTGCATATTCCAACAAACGAGTATATTGGGCATTGTCTATTATAATCCGAATGTATCACGCGATACATTTGCCGAGACGTAGGCAGCTACGACTCGCGAGGGATTCGAGGAAAGTCAAACGGCCATGACACGATGTTTATGTTTGAAAAATTGTAATGAAAAATTAAAAAAGTTCGATGCCAGAAATGGCAGGAATTTTAATTCGAAGAAAAAAAAAAATTCAATTGTAAATAATTAAGAAAAGAAACGATCGTGTAAGACGAAGGAGGAATGTCGGAAAGCAATCTTACTCTTATTCTGAGATCGCTTTTACAGTATATTTCGCACATAGGTACCTGTAAAGTCGTTGGAATCTTTCACGAATTCGAACGAATTTGAAGAAATTCGAACGAATTCCGAGGCAAAGATTCCCATTTATGGTGCAACGATGTTGAAATTGGTGGTGTGCGGCAAACTCGATTTACGTGCATGAATTGTCGGTTAATGGTCGATTAATATCCTCGTCGAGAAAGAAACTGGAAAAAAAAAGATAAAAAACAAAGGAAACTCGTAGGTTTCTAGGGTTCCCTTTAAGAATACAGGCATTATTGTAGTCACATTGTGTGTGACGAGGCTTTTTCTCTTTCAACCCCTGGTTGTTGTTGTCCCGCTTGGACGATCGGAATAACAGCACGCTAGTCGAGAGAGCAAGCTGCAATTAATGAACCGCAGGGAGGTACGAAGGCAAGCTGTCCCATACTTGTCGCAGGAGGCGACCCGCCATTAGATTATGCATCGTTACTGTAGTGGTTTATTGCCGTGTTGCTACACACGATGCAAAGGGATTCCACGTCGATCCGAGGAACCACGTCACGGCATCTACCCGGAACCGCACCTTCGTAATTGCGTGCATCGTGTCGCAGATTTCGCTATAAGCAAAAAAACTTTTCGAACGTACGTTCTCTTACGTATCTCTTAATAATCTTAAAACGTTCTTACGAATGGATAAAAGATTCGCTATTCGCGCGAAATTGATCGGTAAAAAGTGAGTATGTATTACGAATAGATCAAAATTCTGGGAATCTGTAAGAAGATTCAAAATTCGTTCGATGCTATGTATTACTTGTTTAATTTTATATAAAGTCGTTTAAAAAATCCTATTGCTATAAGCCGCATAATCACCATGAAACCATTAACAAAGAAGGTAAAAGACTGTGATTCTTCCATCGCTGAAAGAAAGTTTAAAGAGTGGATGAATGTATTAAGCCAAGCGACGCTGCTTTATTCTTTGGTGAGAAGATGTCGGGGGAAAAGAACCCGAAATTATAAAAGCGGGATTTCCATAAAGCGCGTATCACTAAATATAATATATATATATATAGATAGAGTTCGAATTTATTTTAAACGAATGAAAATATTAATTTTAACGTTTAGCGTTTAATGAACGAAACGAGCAGAGACGCCAAAAATTTTAGAAAAATAAATCGATATATGAGATATCGTCGAGGAGGGCTAACTTGTCTGATTTAGATCATGAAATATTTGTTTAAACCTGGAATGTGTAAGATTAATGATCCGGAATGAAGGACGACTCCTGAAACTCATGATCAAAAGCTCGAAGCGGAAAGGCATCAGCATGGCGGTGATTTCTGGAAAGCTAGAGGAAATGAAAAAGCACGGGAATGGCAAGTATCCACAGATGCATCGATGAAGAAGAGTATCGTGTGGCTTTGCCCAATCGCATGCAAACCGATATACTCACTCGTTTTGTATGGTGAGCATGACTGCAGGGGCTACGGTGTCCACCCTCACCTCGCGCGATCTCTCGCGATTCGATGGATCCGACTTCAGGCCTGAATAACTTAGGTACAACCAGGCGTATTATCTCATAGAGGAGGCTGCTCTCTCTGTCCATTCAGTCTCGATATAAAGATATACGCGGGGAAGGGGCTACTATCAAACCATCTCAATAGCAACGACTACAAATAATCTACGAGCTGCAATCTTACGTATATACATACATTGCACATCCCTGTCTTGTGACTACGACTAAACATTATCGGATCATCGTCTTTTTCATTTCGGGTACAAATGATTCTCCTTCGCCTCTATCATGTACAATTGATCGATCGATCATTGTCATTATTCATTTCCGTTGAATGTTATTAATGGAAAAAATTTTCGTTCTCCTTTCTTCTTCTTTTTCTTCTTCTTTTCTTTCTTTCAATTTCTCTTTCTTCCTTTTTTTTTAATGATAATATTTTAAAGAAAAGTCGTTAGACTTGCGACAAAAAAAAAAATATTAAATATTAAATTTTTATCTGTGCTTTATAATGTAATATTAAAAAGAGCAAATAATTTGATATAATCGATTTAAATTTGTACCAGTCTTGAAAGAATTCAGAATTATTTTCAATCCGAGTCAAATGTAATTAAGTTACATTTTCGAGTTAATTGCAATCTTAGAATAAAAAATTATTGCAGCTTTTTATTTTTTACTATAGAGAATGGAACAAGAAATCGCCTAGAATCACATAGATAAAAATGATTTGCATTTTTTATTGCAACTAATTTATCAAAATATTATAACCACGAAAGAATTTCGTGAATGAAATTTTACGAGATAGATAAAAGTAAAGAAAAATAGACATTAACAAGGGATATTTTGATCTATAGTATGTAAATTTCTAAAATCTAGTTGGAAATCAACAATTACATTTAAATTAATTGCATGCTACAAAGAAAGAAAAGGAAAAAATGACGAAATAACGATTATATTAATGTTGAAAAAAAGATGCATGTTGAAAAAAAAATTAAAAAAAGAATTGCATGCTGGTTTCTATCCGCGAATAAATTCGTTGCAAAGAGACAAAAGTGTCCGTCAATACGAGCAACCACGAACAACCGGCGTACGTCAATAGAGAAAATTGCTCTTACGCGTGTTTAAACGAGGACCACGAGATACACGTGGTTGAAATCACGAGGACGTTCCTCCCTCGCGGTTAAAACTCTTCTTCTCCTTCACTCTTTCTCTCTGTTTACGTTTCGTTTTCTTCCTCCACAATATCTTTGTCCTTACTTCTCGTTTATCACACAGATATGCCAATATGCATTTAACGGTGCTTCCTTTTCTTCGATCTCAATCAATAATTTCAAAATTATTCTATTAATCATTTACTTAATTATATTTATTTTAATCATTTTTCTTAATATTTAATTATATTTTAAAATCTTTTAACCAAAATATTTTTCTTGTACTTTTCTTTTTTCCCTTTTTTTCTTCTTATTTTGATCCAAGAATATTAAATATAAATATTCTCTAAATTAATGTTTCTATTTTCTTTTTTAAAATATTTAACAATTATATATTAAAAATTTCTTTTTTTATTTTAGACGTTAAACAAATATATAAATATGTGATATTCAACGCGATTTAGGACCGAAAAAACAATAGAGAAATCAAAACAACAAACAGGTGTTTTCGCATGGAATGCGCGACCGCATACTGACGATACGATCCAGGAACGTTGACTAGTACTCGCGATAGATTTCTCGCTGTCCAATGCGCATCCACAACCCTACCGAACATCGACATATGCCAACCCTCTTTTCAATTTTTCATATCGCATCATTTTGACATGAGACTGAAACAAATTACATTGTAAATTATCCTGCAAATTTATTTTGTTAAGAATAATATATAATTATAAGAAAATAAAAGATATACTATTTTTCAAAATTTGAATTTCATTATTATTATTAAATATTTACTTATTTAATACATATATAACATATAAAACAACATGCAAAGAAATACAATTAAAAAGTATCTAAAATGCATAATTTTTTCTTTGTTTATAAAAAAAATGCACAAAGAAAAAAATTTATTTGCAAGATAATATAATTATTAATAACAAATTTCATTGAAAATATTAATAATTATAAAGTTATTTAGATTCTGTCTGACGCGCGCGGATATTTGATTACTTGAATATAAGTGTATCGTGTTGCCATCTCTGAAGAGAACTATAAGTAATTTCTAACTTGTAAGTATCTTTGACGTCAATTGAAAATTTTATTATCGTAAATGTATATTTTGTACTTGAAATTTTTTTTTTACAAAATGTATTTATCTTATTCGCACTTTATTATTATAATTAAAATTTTCCATAGAAATATAATTACTTTATAAATTTTTAAAATTAAAAATTTATTTTTTTGATTTTAATCATTTATTATTTTTATTACGTTGTGAATTATTTAAATTAAATTTTTAATGTAGTCTTAATTTGTTTTTATTTTTACTTAATATAACATTATATATTAATATATTAATTTTTTTGATTTTTAAAATTTATACAATTTATACAATAATAAAATTGTTTAAGAATCCTAGAAAGTAATTCATAAATCGATTATTTTTATTTCATTGCTATATTTTATAATATACGTATATTTATATTAAATTATTTGGTTCATTAATATTTGAATTATATATATATATATATATATTTATATAAACTTTAATTTAAGGAATTTAAAAATTTAATAAAAATGCTTGTATATCAAAAAATGCACAGTAAAATATTTTGAATTATATAATTATATGTTAAATATAACTATTAATATGTAAAATACAGATTATATAAAAATTATTGTAATTAAAAATAACGTAACTGTTTTGATATTAACTCTTATGAAATAAGGTCATGTTCAAACACATGATTAGATAAAGCAAATCTTGTGATGATAAAATACATTCAAGTTTTTGTTAATTCTTTTACCATTTCTCAATAATACAGTTCTTATATAAACTATATTTGAACTATAAATTATTTAAACTATATTTGCATAATTGTGAATTATTTTAAATCTTTATTAATATATAATATAAAAACAAATTTTCAGTTAATTTTATATAAATTATATATTAAATATGACTACTTTGAATATCAGTGAACTTACCATAGTAAAAAGGAATCTACATGTCCCTTCCCTTGATGAAATAAAAGATGGTAAATTTTAAATAAAATATATAATTTGAAATTTTAAGAATATTATATTTATATATTCTTTTTCTTTTCTTCTTGCAATAGTGTTAAAGGAAGGATTAATTAGAAATTTTGCAAATGTTGAAGTAGAAATTGTTGATTGTCCTGATTTAACACAAGAACCATTCGCACTTTCTGCTCCAGGTAAAATAATTATATTATTTTATATATAAAGTATTTTTTTGTATTATTTTAAATTAATATATGAATTTTAATATTTAGGATTAAATGGTAATTCAACATTGTTAGAAATTGGTGGTCCATCATTTCTTCTTCCTATTGTACAAAAAAATAATTATATGATATTCAACAACTCTTAAATCATTTACATTATAAAGAAGATTCTTTTGTTATTGGGGCAGGGGCTGGTCCATGGCCATACATAAATTCTAATTGTGAGGTAATAATCAAAATTTATATATGTTATCTCAATTAATAATTAAAATATAAGATAAAATTTTTATAGCTTATAATGAATATGATTGTTTCATTATCTAATATACAAAATGGAACTCATATTTCATCTGTCAATAAAGCAAATGGAAACTGTGAACTTCAAAATTTACCTAACAATGAAACGAGATTTGCTTTGTTAGCCAATTTATTTGTCACTGAAGGAAAACCTGGTAAAGTTTTAAAAGTTCATGTTAAAAAACGTATTGGAAATGATGACTTTATTGCATGTATGCAAAAAGCAATTGCTCAACATTATCACAATAATCTTGTTGGTAAGCAGAATTTTTTTTGATTAATAATTATATCTAACAGAAAATACAATTAAATATTTATATAAAATTTTTTCAACTATAGGATTAGGAGGAACATTTTTAATAAAAAATGGAAAAGTCAAACAGCATGTTATGCCAGATTTCTCAGTAACTCCATTACATACTGAAGCACAACTTAATAATTGGTTACACTTTTATAACATGTCAACACCTTTAATAGCTGTTGGTACATTTGTTAGTTCTGAAAGTGTAAGTAAAATCATATGAAATTAGATATTTTTAATTGTAGGAAAACGTTTAAACTGTATTGATAAAAAATAATTTGAAATTGTCTTTAGTCTATCCTATTATACACTGTTACATGTATTATTCCATAACATTATTTCATTGTTTATAATTTTAGGATTTAGATCTTCGTGTTCAACATTTTCACAGTTTTTCTCATCATGGAGAAGGTGGTCATTATCATATTGATACAACTCCAGAAACTATAGAATACTTGGGATATTTCAATTTAGGTACTACACTTTATCGTATAGATAAACCACTAACTGGTATAGAATTTGGAAAGGACTAATTTTTGTTACATTGTTATATATACATTCTTATAATATTCAATATTTGTAATATTCAAACAAAAATTATGCATAAATAATTATAATTATATTGTAATAAATATATATATTATAAACATATTTCTTTTGTAATTAATTGTAAATAAGATAAATTATATTAATTTTAATAACAAAATTATAATACTACTTTAATTCAAAAATAATTATAAGGAAAAACTGAAGTAAATAAAGGAATCTATTAATTGCATAAATATCATAATATACTTAATATACAATTCATTTAACAAAAGATCTAAAAATCCCGATTACTTATATGAAATTATAAACTTATTCCAGTTATATTATTATTAATTAAAAAGATAAAATACATTAATTAAAAAGTTTCTTTCGAATAAAATTAAAACGAATAACGTTATTTTAACAAATTTGATCTTATAATTAGCAGTTTTCACTGTTTAACATTCCAGGATCTCAATCCAATCGTTACATTTTCCAAATCTTCCTACCAGTATTAATCTCTCATAAACTGTTTAACATGCAAAGCTGTATATTAATTCTATCAAACAGCAGATGTACTAGTGATAGACGGTAGTATACAGCAAATGTCTCATTCAGTATCACGGATCATAGCTTTAAAGTAGCCCAATAATGAAGTTCAGCATTGAATCCACTGCTTCTTATAATAGTATACATCCAGCATACCATTACACAGAACAATTTGCTAATAATGCTGAAACATATCAAGAGGGTACTAAATGGTTTGGAATATTTTTGGCATTTTTATCAGGTACATTTTTTACAATTAGTTCTGCCTTAGTCAAAGCAGTACAAAATGTACATCCTATGGTATTGCTGACTATCAGATCTGTTTTACAAATGATAGTTATGGCTGTTGTAGCATTTAAAGTTTCTAAAAATCTTTTTGGACCCAAAGGACAAAGAATGCTTTTACATTTACAAGTATGTTAATTATGAACAAGTTAATAAGATTTATATTTCATATATTAATAAAAAAAATAATCTGATAAAGTATTTTATCTTTTTTCTTAGGGAATAATAGGTGGTGCAACACTATCATTGTTATATTATAGTTTTCGCAAATTACCGATAGGAGATGCTACAACAATTATATTTAGTTCTCCAGTAATTGTAATTGCATTATCTTTCATTTTATTAAAAGAACCTTGTGGAATATTGCGCGTAATAGTTATGTGTGCACTTTTTGCGGGAGTTATTTTTGTATCTAAACCACCTTTTTTATTTCAGGTAAAAGAATAATATTTTATAAAATTTCTATAAATCAACAATTTGACATAAAATATTTTTTTCTTTAGATACATAGAGCTGAATCATACAATGTGATGGGATATGTGTGTGCTATTTTAGCAACTCTTTTTACAGCTCTTAATATAGTTATTATGAGAAAATGTTCAGAAATTCATTACTCAGCAATTATCTTCAATTTATCTTGGTGGTCACTTGTTACAGCAGTTTTTTTTTTCTTCTTGTATCAGATAATCAAGAACAAAAATCAAAATTTCCACATGATTGGATTACTTGGAGTAAAATATTGTTAATAGCACTAACTGGATTATCAGGTCAAATTTTAGTGACTAATGCATTAAAAATAGAAGGTGCTGGAAAAGTATCAGTGACTAGATCTTTAGATATTATTTTGGCTTATATTGTACAAATATATTTTTTTGGAGATCAACCTACATCAACTAGTATGATTGGAGCATTTTTAATCATAATCTCTGTTATATGTATGGGATTTGAGAAAGAAATTTATAATGTTTGTGATTTTATTCCCTAATCAAAGATACAGTATCTTAAATTATTTACCTGCATAAACATAGATAATATACATATTTTTATGAATGGTGAAAATGTTATTATACTACTATTATGATTTTCATAATATAAAGTTTCAAGACTTTATACAATATAATATTGAATTATATGAAAACTACCATTCATTTACATAATTTTTTAACCGCATGAATTTATATACCTTACATAAATTTTCATTCAAACTAAAAATAAAAGTATCAAGTATTTAATAGTTAACTCAACAAACTGATTATATATTTATAATTATGATCTATATTCTTTTCTAAAATTTATCATGAGATAGAAATGACACAATTTTTAAAGTATACAAATGAATACATATTTACAATTGTACACACATCGTTATTATATGTACTTCGAATTATCCGTGACTTTGTGCGGACGTAATTAACTGTACCTTTATAATTGTTAACGCGGTTTATTAAAAAAAAAAATATATATCTACGATTAACAATAAATCACCATACCATATCCAAGATAATAGTATGTACACTTTTCTTTCTTAGCTACTTTATCCCTGCTAGATACAAACAATTCTATCGAGAAAATGCTAATTTAGAGCTTATAAATCTATACATATTCTTAGAGCTTACTTAGTTTATAACTGAAGTAATACATATAAGAATTCTTTAGTAACTGTTTAAAACGTTATCATGCAACATAGTATTATATGCTACACTAATTATTTTAGATTAATTATCATTAGAAAGAAGCCACGGATACTTACATGCAATCAATCTTCTTGTAGTTGAAAAAACGAAAAATTTGTGTATGTGTTCTTGTCTGTACTTCTTTTTAAACATTTTGTTCCTAAATTTCGTCCAATTTGCATTTTTGGAATTATTGCCACCTGCACTAGCTGCTCTATGCACGCGTTAATTAAATAAATTTTCATATTTTTTAAAATACGCTTAAATAATATTAAAGCTACTATTGAATAGGAATGTAAATGTGTGTAAGTTGAAATAAAAACCATTTATACATAATATACCAATTTTTCAGTTTCTGATATTTCTTATGTAAATATATATTTATATATTCCTTATCCAAAAGTTATAACTTTACATTGGTCATATATAAATTTTTCTGTTTCTAAATATCTTATATTAATTTTGAGACTATACAAAGTCTGACTTGTATTCTGTTAATTTAAATAATTTTAAATCAGTATAATTTTAAATATTTCTTTAGCATTGTAGCATTATATATGTATATTACTAAAGAAATAAATCATTATGTATGTATATAACATACAAAATATGATGCTGTCCTAAGAATTATTAAACTTAATTTGTATTATTCGAATATATTTTTTTTCTCCAAAAATATTCTTCTTATTTTTAAATTAGATTACCAATATTTTTTAATTTATTTTATGAAATTTTTTAGTGTAATTAAGGTAAATTTGTCTATCTATAAAAATATAGAAACAAATGAATAATGGGCATTGTGTGCCATTCCTAGAGAAACATAAGAATATTAAATAATAACAATATATATATATATATATATATATATATATATATA